AGCTCTTCCAGCAGGCCTATCCATCTGATCTTCCAGATTTTTAGACTCTGACAATGATCGGCTATTTTATTTTATCTTATCCTATTTTATTTTATTTGCATTTATTTTATTATATTGTATTCTATTCTCTTAATCTATTATTATTGTTCTGATTTTTATTACTTTATTGTTTATATTTTATACATTGTATTCATTTTATTGTGTAATCTCGCCTCGATCCATAGGGAGAGGCGGGAAATATAAATAAAACTTATTATTATTATTATTATTATTATTATTATTATTATTATTATTATTATTGAAAGCACACTTTCTTGATGGACAGTTTTGAATCACTCACAGGCCACTGTGTTTCTCGTTAAGCAGGATTGGGCAACCTATGGCTCTAGCTAGCACTGCCAATGGTAAGAACTAGTGCGAGCTACAGTTTAATATCTGGAGGACTACAAGTGATCAAGAGTAATTAATTCTGTCATCTAGGTAGAATATTGTGCTCCCCAGGCATCCTCATGGAAAGAAAGGTCAAATTTTACCTCTTCCATGAATTAGAAGACATGCCTGTTCTTTTTGTGAGCAGCTTGAGTCTTGAATGAGAAGCATGACCAAAAATGGCTGTAACTGTTCAAGGCAAGGGCAGTCCCAAATTGTGTGACACACCAATTACAACCTGATCTCAGGCAGGAAATCACCACTAGCCACACTGTCTGGAGGATTCTGGGAGATGCAGCCCACAAAGATAACATTTCCAATCTCTGCACATGACACATATGCACATGACACATATGCATTCAATTGGGGTTTACCATCCCACCCCATTTTTGCTGGGTGAGATAAAAACAACAACTCCATTGAACATTGGGGGAATGTCAGGTGGCCCCCTCCAAAATACTGATTTCCTTTTTATAGCTTATAACCATAGTTTTTCTTCCTTCTCAGCAGCACAACATTTACTGTACGGTTTAAAAATAGGATTGCAAATACCCTGGGAAGTATGATATGTCACAATATGTCTCCATACCCAGGAACATTATATTGAAAAGAAAATGGCTTCCCTCATGGATCAATGGCTGAATTCCTCCAAAAGTGTCCCTATTTTCTTAGGTGACCAAGATTCTGATGAAGGGGCCATTACTGAACCTGTCTCCAATTTCAGTTCTTCGACTGTGTTTCACATTCTCCTCGAAGGGCTATCAATCCTTCCATCATTTAGATACTTCCTCAAGGAAGTAAGCCATGAACTCTGAGATTTGCCAATGGTTTCTTGCTTCAGTCTCTGCCTGATTTTGTAGACAGGTAAACAAAATAGATGTTATAGAATTCAGGGGTTGCTAGGGTAATGTATTGTGCAAGCAGATTCAGTACATTACTCAAGAGCCATTACACTGATGGGATTTATCATGAAAGTTATAGGAACTAGGGACATTATTTCTATGTATAGTTTCACCTCACTGTAAAGAGCAATTGATTGTGGGTATTTAACCAACAAATCAGCTATCTAGATTTCAAAAAGCAGAATTCTTCAATGTTAGCTCACATCCTATCAGTGTTACCTCCTGTTACTATTATTGTATACCTTCCCAATTTGGCAGGGACAGTCCTGATTAATCCTCTGTCATCCCGCTTTCCCAACTGCATTTAAAATGTTTCATTTTCTCTCTCCTCTCACTTTTCTCCTTTGTCTTTGGCTTACTTCAGTAGTTGCAAAGTGAGTTCAAAGAACAAAGGACTTTGCATTTAATTAAATTGGTGGCTGGGGATGGGTGGGGAGAAGAGGAGGGGAATGGAATCTTGTGCTTTCCAGTAGACAAACTGCTGCAGCCTCTCTTGCCTTGTGTGTTCTTCCTCATTGATAATTTTTTGTCATCTTGATGAAACCCTGATATTTCTCAACCACATGTGTCCTGATTTTCATGTGTGAAATGTTGGGAGGGGGGTATGGCATCGCACATTCAGCTGGGTTGTTGCTTGAAACTGTTCTGGGCTATTTCTTACAAACTTGGACTATTTCATCCCTTTCTGCATTCCCTGTCCTTGTAAGTTACTTCCTTGAGCAACATGTTGCACAACAGGTTGCCTCTTTCTACCTCTTTAATTCATCAATCTAGCAATTATTCAGAAATTTATCAGGTCTGGGAAATGTGGCATTGATTATTAAAAAAACACAATCACTTATTGTACCCTTAATAAAAACCTAACTGGTGCTTACCAGCAGAATGTAGAGGAAAAATTCTTTCATGGAACAAGGAGAGAAAGGTCTAGCCTTGTATTTCTTCTACTGAATGTGTCCTCCCCCCTTATCTCTCTTATCACTTTTTAAAAAATCTGCAGTTGAAGTCTGTAGCTGAACAACTATTTCTTGCTTTTATTGACAGGGACATCTAGGCACTTGCAAGCAGTTTTCTTTATATTACTTCAGTTTAGTGAGTAGATATTTTGGGAACTGGTGTATAGAAAGCAAGAAAGATGCCCTTGGGGTTCTTCAACTAAGATTTTGAGGATCTGCCAGATGCTATATTGATCTGAAAGACTTGTGACTTCAAAAAATAGAGATAAACACTCATCCAGAAAAGGAGGCGGCAACTGGGGATTGCTAGGCCATTGTTCATCATTTGGATGAAGTGGTGCAGGGAGTATATGGCCTCAGGTCTCCTTGACTTCACATCCACTTTCAGAATAATTTCATCAGAGATTTGGCTGGAGTGAATTGTTGCTCCTTCTCCTTGAACTCTCCCCCCCTTTTAAAAAACAAAGAAGAAGACATTTTCAAATATTGCTGCTTTAGCTAATCGTGCTGTGACTCAAATTGATAGTTCAAGTTCAAGAATGCCATCCTTTGCACCTCAACTGGGGGAAGGGGACTGACATAAAATTGCTGTCATTGCCTAATTCTCTCCAATTTGAAAATGATTCAGTTAAATTGATACCTTCCATTGATATTAAAGAAAACATTCAATTTGTTCAGAAACAGGAGGCAGAGGAAGGAGCACAGGATGGTGGTGACTGCTTTTGGTGTTTTGGAAAGATAAAGTGACAAGTGATGATGGGTAACTGTTCTTAAACAGGAAATGTGACTACTTGGCCACCTCTCTCCTGGTGTGTGTATGTGCGTGTGTGTGCACGCATGCGCGCATACCTGTGCTCATACGCATATGAGTGTGAGTGTGTGCAGAAAACATGGTTTTCTGCAACAAAATTTTCTATAGAGTAAGCATAATTTGCGACACAGGCATCAAGTTTTCTGCACACACTATAAAGTTTTCTGTGCAAAAAACCTAAGTGCAGGAAATGACATCTTTTGTACAATTCCAGCACATTCTCCCTGTTTTGTTTGTTTTGTTTGGTGTGTGTGCTCAACATATTCATTCAGAGAAGCCCTGAACTGCAAATAGTCTTTGAAAATTACCCCATGTTCTCTTGCAGTCTTGGGAAAGCTGAAATTGTTTGTTCTTGTTTACAAGAATGAAATAAAGAAGATTTACATCCATTGACCATGTCCACATTTCATAGACACTTTTCCCACATTAATGTTTTGTATGAAATAGATTTTAGATTCTTTTCCCCATTTTCACTGGAGTAGTTGTGTCCTCTTCAGTCACTATTGACTTCTTTTGAGATCTCAGAACCCGCGTGCCTCTAATGAAGTTTTCCAGTATTTTCCTTCCTGAACTGTGACCAAGGCATATATGTTGCATTCAGAGTTGACCTATGACATTTTGCTGCTTGAGATGTAGTAACAAATGGTACACTCACCCACCTGCGTTTTAACATTAATAGTATAAAAAAGCCAGATAAGTCATTTTGTTGCAAGCAGCTAGAAATCCTCAAGCAACTCTCCCCAATCCTAGCATGAAAAATTCAGCAATAACAAATAAAAGCATTTAACAATTTTAAGACCTAAAATCTGCTGTCTGAGGCAGCCATCTCACTCTGCTTAATACTTTTTTAAAATAATGTTTATTGATTAAAACTTAAAGTACACATTCATTCGATACGTAGATGACATATGGATGCATGTTAAGCACTTGTTGCTAAGTATTCTTACTGTGTACAGCCATTGTAGCTAAGCTTCAAATAAAGTCCAAATAGATCTAGGCATTTCTTGGATGATAAGAGTGTCTTGAGAGGTTTCTACATATCAATCAATAATTAGTTATTCTAATACATATTGGTACTATATATCATCATTCTACTACGAACATAAGTTGAAAACTTTTTTTTTTTAAAAAAATCAAAATTGTACTCTTTTGCTTCTCATTCTAACTGCCACATAGAAGGAGGTAATTTAACCAATATGTTTATCTATATATATGTTATATTTATAGATAAATATTCAATGAACAATTTCAGCCAGTCAATCATCCTTGTATCATTTCCTTTCCAGTATCTGTATTTAAACATATTATTTTTGTATTTATTTCCATTTCTTTTCATATTGTTGTAATGATTTTCCTGCAATATACATGGATAGTCTGTCCATAGTCGCTAATTCATTTAGGGCCTCTGCAGATGGTACAAAGCACTGTCTTGGAGGCACAAAAGGGGAGGGGCAGCTGCACGGCAGCCGCCTCAACCTCTCCCTGAGGACATCATCAGGGTGCACATCATTATGCATGGAGCGCACCCTGTATACATCCTCCCTGTGCAGTGTCATCACGCACTGTGCTGGAAGAGCCGCAAAAGAGCCGCATGGTGGCTCTTGATGCACCCCTTCTGCTGGCTCTGGAAGGACCAGCATTTTAGTGCTCCTTCCAGGGCTGGCAGAAGAGAGGATTGGGGCCTTGGTCCCAATCCTCTGCTTCCCAGGGTGGCCCACGGCCACCCATCTGCATCCCCCCTAAGTTTAACTTCCCATTCTTGTATGGTAAGTACCTTCTCTGATTCCCAATATCTTACATATACTCTGCTTAATACTAAGGCTAATTCTGGTTGGCTTGTATTGATGTTCAGAATACAGGCCAGAATCCTGTTGGGAATTTAAATATTTGTCAACAGTGTTGAGAGCCAGTGTGGTGTAATGGTTTAAGCATTGGACTATGGCTCTAGAGATCAAGGTTCAATTTCCTGCTCGGCCATACAAAACCACTGAGTGACTTGGGTGAGTCACACACTTTCAGGCCCAGAAAGCCCTGTGATAGATTCACCTTAGGTTCACCACAAGTCAAAAATGCCTTGAAGCACACAACCACCACCACCATCACTACTATTGTAGTTACAGTACTATGTAGTGTATCTTCTATTGATCCCTACAGTCCTCACTTAGTGGGAAGCAGCTGCTGTGACTGACGGGAAAGCTGATAGGGGAATGCTCTTCAGTTGATAGGAAAGCAGCAGAATGATAGTTCCTCCCCTCTTGTGAGTGATCTCCAGAATGACAGGCAGAAGGTTGCCATCACAATTCTCGCTTGTGTATGGTTTCTGGGTAGAACTGTCTGCCATCTGCTTCCGGATCAAAAGGGGAACAGACCCTCCCCCCCACATCGATCATAATGGCCACCTACCAGTAAGTGGAGACTGGGGGACTTTCATGGCCCCTAGAACAGTGGTGGTGAACCTCTGGCATGCATGCCAGAGGTGGCATTCAGAGCCCTCTCTGTGGGCACACTCACTATCACCCCATCACAGAGATTGCCAGAGTTTGTTACTAGAAAGCAAGAGGGACATGGCACTTTGCGATAAATAAGTGGGTTTGAGTTTGCAGTTTGGGCACTCGGTCTCTAAAAGGCTTGCCATCACTGCCCTAGGGGCTATGTAGGAAATGAATAGGAAATAGTGACAACTGTGTAACCCCAGGGCTGCATCCACTGACACTGTTTTAACTGTCATGGCTCCATTCTGTAGAATCCTAGGATTTGTAGTGTGTTGTGTCACCAGAGCTTACTGACAGAGAAAAATATCTCACAAAACTACAGTTCCCAGAATTCCATAGCACTGAGCCATGGCAGTTAAAGCGGTGTCAAACTGTGTTATTTCTTCAGTGCATATACAGCCCAAGTTATACATTCGTAACTGCCAAAAAGTAGTCCAGCCATAGTTGGCTTTTCTTTCTGACCTCCATATACATCACTTTGATGGGAAATTCAAAATTCAAAATATTTTGTAAAAATACCCGAGGACAACTGCATACATAATGGATCAGTTATCAAAGGGGTTTGCAAGAATCAAACCTGTTTTTCATCAGTGGTGAACCAAAAACATAGTCATTCCATGTAGGAATGGATCTTACTCCCTGCTGATGTATAACATAAAGGAGAAAAGTTGCATTTGAAGCATTCATGTGTCTTTCATACCTGATGTACTATATTTTTGACTTGAGGATCAGTGTCTGAATTCCAAATATTTGTCAGAGGTGTCAGTAGGATTGTAGGAGAGAAGCCTGAATGCGCCATTGTCTGTACAGGAACTATTTAATGACCTAATATGAGGTTTCTGTTCTTTTGTAGTCTATGGTGTGTCTTGTTACATTGAGACATTTGGGCTTGTTATATTTTGTTTTGTTTTTTTGTTAATCCTGAAGGCACTTCTTGTAAGGTACACTAGCTGCTCCCTGTGTATTTTTGTAATGTTTCAGTTGATTTCTCCTGTTTCCTTTAGGCTCCTTAAGTGAGGAGAGACATTCTTTAGGCTTATTATGTTTTAATGAGAGGAGGACCATGTCAAAAATATAACCCCTAAAATGGGCCAGAGCCAATTTGCACAACAATTTTGTGTGTGGTAATTATGTGGAGGTGCAACCTCAAGCCAACTTTTTCAGTGTGTGTGCTCATAATGTGAACATCTTGACATGTACTTAGCTTGAAGCTCATTGTTTGTTTCTTGGAAAACTGTCAATATATAGGTAGAGCTGAGAGGTGGCATTTCCATTTTCCCCTTGGAAGATGAGCAGCCATATCTGAAAGGCCAGCTTCATTTTATGGTTTCATAGTTTATTCATAGGATGCAGAAATATGAAAGTTAGTGAAAAAGCTATATTACATTTACTCTAAAAAGTTAAAAACAAACAAACAAACAACAACCACACCACACCACTCCTAATTATGTTTACATTGCAAAGGGGATGATTTTACACTTACACTGGAAAAACTGAAGCATGGTGAGCAAGGAGAAGACAGGAAATCTATCTCTCCCTTCAAGTCACAGCAGCCATGCTGCCTAAAATGGGAGGCAGAAATGTCCTAGAAATGTATGGGAGATTAAGGTGGTGTAAAAGAAAAGTGACAAACCAAACTAAAATAAAATAATCCCACTTCCAATGGGATATCCAATACTAAAAACATAAAACAATTACAGATATTGGAACTCAAATGGATTCATCGTTTGAAATCTGAATCCCCAGTGGGCTTAAATGAAAATGTGAATTGGCTAGTTTGACTCTTTTACTGTCCTTCCACACCTTGAATTTTCCCTTAGTTCTTTTCTTGAGTCTTGGCAGGATAGTTGCCACTACCGGTTTTACTGGTTATAGAAAACGTTCTGTGAACGGGATGAATGGGAGAAGAACTTCATTTAAATTATGATGCATTGATGGGATATCTAATACTAAGTACATAAAACAACTACCAATACTGGAATTCAAATGGATACATGGTTGGTAAATCTGTATCCCTGATGGTTTAAGATGTAGCTGTAAGTGGGTTGGTTTGAGTAAAAGAAAAGTGTACATGGGAGACATCACTAGCCAGTAACCACCAACAACCATGGATTAAAGCTTCTATTAAGGATAGCAGGGAAAGTGGTGAAGGTGGGAAAGCAAGGTAGCAAGTGAAAATGTTGTCTTCCACATCATTCCTTGGAAAATGTCATACAGTTGTATTAAATGACATTTAAAAAGCCAGGTACTTTATATTTGGAGTTAATTTTTTTAAAAAGAATGTGATTAACAATGAATTCATTCTGATCTCCTGGTAGAATATAAGAAATGGTGGTGAGCAAAGAAGGAGCTATGCAGACAGGCAAAAAGGGGTGATCTGAGGGTGACTTGTAGGTGCGGCCTTTAGATGATGCATGCCTAAAAGTCTCCAGGAAAGCAACCCCTAGCCATCGTATGCCAGGAAAAGCTGCTCCAAAAAGGAGCTCCTTTGCTGAAGATGTGCACCTTCGTATGTGTGTATGTATGCAGTGACACTGATGCACCAGAAAACAGCCATATAAATGCACTGTGGCACATGTGGCAGAAATTGACTTGGCGATCCAGAGCATGCGCCTTACTATGCAAGCCTTAATTTAAAGTGCCCTATGCTTCCAGGTGTGGATGCACTGGCGCAG